ATAACAAATCGATCAGTTTTAAAAGTTAATTTTCTATTTTGATTGAATATTTAAGCAAAATAATTACAAATACATTAATATTTACTGCTCAAGCCCAAAATATCCTCACACACTTATTTCAAAATCCCAAAATATCCTCATTAAAATTATATAATTTCAATATAATAAAATAAATAATTAAAAATTAGTTTGACTAGCGAATATTAATTCTTTATCACTAACCTTCGTCGTCAATTAGCCACCAACGTCCAAAGCATCACCCACCTCGCAAGTCTTCTAGGTCCCCCTCCCTTTCTTCACACACATAAATATAAATATGTTATATTTTGTTCAGGAGTTTCAGATCTAGGACTCTGTAAGCTTTAGAAGTATGTTATATCTTATGAATTTAGGGTTCTTGTAGAGGGTTATCAATTTGGCATCTCAAAATTTATTGCGATTTTTTATAATTGATTAAAGAAGGAACAACAACTAGAGACCTCTAGACAACATAAAAGAAAGGCAGGTAGATATTTCAATACTTCAATACCCTACTGCTAGGATTTGAAATCTTTAATAAATCCCATTAGAAGTTTCAGATCTAGGACTTTGTAAGCTGTAGAAGTATATTATATCTTATGAATTTTGGGTTCTTGCAGAAGGTTATCAATTTGGCATCTCAAAATTTATTGTGATTTTTTATAATTAATTGAAGAAGGAACAACAACTAGAGACCGTTTTCAGGAGCTGGACGGTGGAGCTGTTTTCATGAGTAATGATCATACCTGTCAAACAAGGGGGATAGGAAAGATCCATTTGAAGTTGCACAGTGAAACAGTCAGAGTTCTCGAAGATGTCAGGTATGTACTAGATTTGAAGAAAAATCTCATCTCACTTGGATCATTAGTAGCAAAAGGCTATAAGATCATGCTGAAATGCGATGGTCTAAAGGTGACCTACGGAGCTCTAGTTGTGATAAAGGGTACGAGGAAGTGTAACTTGTATTTTTTCCTTGGAAATACAGTTACAGGCACAGCAGCTGTTGCAGATAGTTCAGACGTAGTTGTATAAGATGCTACTAGATTATGGCATGTACGCTTAGGACTTGCATATGAGAAGGCTTTGCAGGGACTAGTGAAGTAGGGTCTATTGAAAGGTGCCAAGACTTGCAGGCTTGGATTTTATGAACATTGTGTTCTAGGCAAGCAAATAAGAGTTAAGTTTGGCACAGCAGTACACCGTACGAAGGGAGTACTTGACTATGTTCACACAGATGTTTGGGGACCTACCAGAGTTGGATATTTGGGAGGTAAGCATTGGTTTATCTCATTTGTTGATGACTTCTCTAGACGAGTATGGGTGTACACCATGAAACATAAAGATGAAGTCTTAAAAGTGTTCTTAAAGTGGAATAAGATGATAGAGACCCAGACTGTTAGAAAAATCAAAAGACTCGGATCCGATAATGGCGGTGAAAACACATTGGACCCATTCTTGCAAGTATGCCAAGAAGAGGGTATTGTTCGACACTTTACAGTTAGAGACACGCCACAACTGAATGGGGTGGCAAAATGCATGAATCAAACCTTGTTAGAAAAGGTTATATGTATGTTGTCCAATGTTGGATTCGCAAAGCGTTTTGGGCTGAGGCTGTGACATACACATGCCATCTCATCAACAGGTTACTTGCAACTGCGAATGAGGGCAAAATGACCATCTCATCAACAGGTTATTCTTCCTCTTCTTTTTCTTCTTCTTTGAAGCTCTAGAGATGGAGAGAGAGTGGATCTAGAGATGGGTCTTGAGATGTGCCTACTCTTCCCTCTTTTTTTTCTAACCATAATCTCTAACTTTACTAGAGAGAGAAATATAAATTACAATGTAAAAAATAAAATGATAAAAGCTTTTTTACAAAATAGGTCACTTCCATTTATATAGAAGGTCCTTTTCTTAGCCATTAAGTCAGAAATATAGCCCCAAAAATATCTAATCCCGTACTATGTGGTAGGTGGGAGTTCGGGCGGGCACAGGAATAAGACAGCTCGCTGCCAGCACATGTTCGATTAATCAGACTTTTTTCTTGGATCGATCCAACTTTGATTGATCTCAAAAAAGTTCAATCGATCTCGTTTAGTAGCTTTTCAGCATCAGCCGCTTTTTGCTCCAAATCAGCTTCTTTTTGCTCCAAATCATCACCACGACTTAGTTTGGCTCCAAAAAGGCCTTAAAAAACCATTTTTAGCTTGTTTTAGCTTTATTGACCTAAAAAGGGAAATAACACAAAATTAGTCTAAAGCGAGAAAATAAGATAGATGAAGGTCCTAGAATAGTCAAGCTTAAGGGGTTTAAATGTGTACTTTTCAGCGCTCATCAACAACCACCATTAGTTATTTGTTAGGCCACGCTTCCGCACAACACATACCAGCACTGATTTGAAAGTGTTGTGGTTGAATGACTCATTGCAATCCCACTCAATTAGAAGGATTGCATTATTGCAGCCTTGAAAATAGTAATGACTACAAGACAAATGTAAACCATGTGGAGGTTAGCCTCAACAAGTATACATGGATTAGGTGTTTTTTTTTTTTAATAATAAAAAAAAGAATTTAATTAATGAATCAAAGTTGACATCCACCGTTCAAATAAACTGATTGACAAACTTTATGATCAACTAAATCTACTTGTTGTATTAAACTTCTTTCAAGAGATTTTTGTAATCCAAACTTCCTCTCCACATATTAAAATAGTAGAGGATAAATTATATAATTGCTTTTAAAAATTTGCAGCTGCCCAATGAAATACAACTAGCTAGAGAAGGTATAAAGTATTGCTAGGGGCAGCAAATTTATGATTGTCTCTTGGGACAGTGTTCAAAACACAACTTTAGTGTAGTCTAAGTTGCCAATAGGCCTGTGCTTTCTTTTTCTAGATGTCTCGATAGGTCACTGGATTAGTACCTCCCGTAAATTTTGGATCGACTCTATCCATCTACTAATCTAACTTTTAACACTTTTTGCCTTGAAAAAAAAAAAAAAAAAAATTATTGTTTCCTACCATGAATGGAAATAGAAATTTTTAGAGCACTCCAATCTTAAAAGAAATGATACCTCTATTCCACATTTTTAAAATTAGTAATTATTTTTTTCAAATATCACAACTACCCTTTCAGTTATGGTAAGATCTTTCTGTCTCCGCCGTATCCTGCCTCTGTTCCAATCAACGTTTTTGGTATCCTGCCTCTTTCCCAATCAACGTTTTTGGTGTATTTTTGTTAATCCCTGTTTTTGTTTTGCTTTCTGCCTTTCTAAACCTTTTGTTTAATTTGTATCCTTCTCTCATTAGGGTTTGATATTGATCTTAACAAAGTTAACGATCAATGTAATTAATCATGGTACCATAAAAAAAAATATATATATATATATTGAATAACTATTAAAACTTCTTAAATCATTAAACTTCTTTGATGGTAATAATAGTGATGGGAATGGTAATTTGTTTATTTTATTTTTATTTTTATTTTTTATTTTTAATTTTATGCATTAAGTTTACCGTTTGGATTTTTTTTTTTTTTTTTTTTTTTTCTGATGTGATTTTTAAAAATTAATTTGGATGGTGATGGGAATGGTAATATTTAAAATAATACAAAAAAAATCTTACCTATTTTATGCTTTGAGTTTAGTTTGATTTTTTTTCCCTAATGTGATTTTAAGAACTAATTTAGAATTTATTTGAATACTTATGTTTACTTTATACTTGTTGATAAATAAAGTCTTTTAACTCTTTTGACAATAAAATTAAAATATTAGGGATTTTGTGAAAAAAAAAATATAGTAGAGGAAATAAATAAGGTAAAAGAAAAAGTTTACAATATTAGAAAGGGAAATTACACATAAATAAAGTTAGGAGCCATAAATAACAAATCGATCAGTTTTAAAAGTTAATTTTCTATTTTGATTGAATATTTAAGCAAAATAATTACAAATACATTAATATTTACTGCTCAAGCCCAAAATATCCTCACACACTTATTTCAAAATCCCAAAATATCCTCATTAAAATTATATAATTTCAATATAATAAAATAAATAATTAAAAATTAGTTTGACTAGCGAATATTAATTCTTTATCACTAACCTTCGTCGTCAATTAGCCACCAACGTCCAAAGCATCACCCACCTCGCAAGTCTTCTAGGTCCCCCTCCCTTTCTTCACACACATAAATATAAATATGTTATATTTTTGTTCAGGAGTTTCAGATCTAGGACTCTGTAAGCTTTAAAAGTATGTTATATCTTATGAATTTAGGGTTCTTGTAGAGGGTTATCAATTTGGCATCTCAAAATTTATTGCGATTTTTTATAATTGATTAAAGAAGGAACAACAACTAGAGACCTCTAGACAACATAAAAGAAAGGCAGGTAGATATTTCAATACTTCAATACCCTACTGCTAGGATTTGAAATCTTTAATAAATCCCATTATAGTTTTGACATCTTCTAATATATTAACAATAATAATAGCTTCTTTTAGGTAACAATTGAAAATTTTCTATACCATAACTGCCATAGTAAGCTTGTAGAGCTTACCTCTTCAATTCTTACCTCTCTGATGAGATGACATCAATTCCAAAGGGCAACCCAATGGCGATGGACGACGAAGAAAAAAGATGGAGAATTTTTATTTGCTAGTTAAACTAATTTTAATTATTTATTTTAATATTTGAAATTAGATAATTTTAAGAAGTGTGAGGACATTTCGGACCTTAGAAACAATTAATATTATTAAAGTCCATGTTTTTTTAATTTTTTTTTTTTAAATGGTAAATTTCAATTTTTATAAATAAGAATATAAGCCCATGAGTTAACCCAATGCAATCACAAAGTGTTCAACATACATGTACGCACGCACACATTCGGAAAACCTATTCCACAAACCCTATTCCATAAACCCTTCTGCCGCATTGAAGAGCCAGATAAAGTTGCAATAGAAAGGAAACGAAGAGAAAACAAAGAAAGCCAGCAATGGAAGGCGACACACAAAGTCTTCCATGTGATGTCGTATACACCATACTCTCCAAACTACCCGTCAAATCTCTGTTTCAATTGAGATGCGTTTGTAAATCATGGCGTGATGTAATCTCCCAACCCCAATTCTCGAAATCACATCTCACTGAATCAATTAAGTTGGTCGACCGTCAAAGAATCTTTGTCCGGGACACCATGTCCGCCTGTTTCCGCTCCATAGGTTGTGAGGACGGTTTAGACGAAGAACTAAAGTTTCCTATTCAGAAGTATCGGAGGGCTAAAGTGTTGTGTTCTTGTAATGGTTTAGTACTGTTGCGGGCTCACAAGAGTGACAATATGTGTGTAATTTGGAATCCATCCATCAGAGATTACAAAAGGTTCTCATGTCCATCTCATATATCTCGCAACTATATGCCCCATGGACTCTATTACGATTCTTCCATGGATGATTACAAGGTCATATTTTTCTCTAAGGAGCCGAAAAATAATTTTATTGTTTTAAGTTTCAAAGGTCAATCTTGGACAGAGCCTAAGAAATTCCCTTATTTGGATTTTCACGGTGAGATGGTCCTTGCAAATGGAGTGTTGCACTTGGTTGCTCTTAAGCCTAGGAAAGTTGCCAACGTGAGACCTCCCCCTCCACCATACCTACTTTTCTATAATGATAGCGAGGATGGCAATACACACCTATATAAGTATGATCCCACTCGAACATATCTGATTGTTTGCTTTGATACGGTGGATGAGAAGTTCAAGGAGATGCCACAACCAAATTGTATAAATGAAGGAGACAAATTTAGTTTGACGCTTATGAGAGGATGTCTAAGTTTATATTGTGATACTATTCGTCAGCAACGTGTGGTGGTGTGGCTTATGAAGCAATATGGTGACAACAATTCTTGGACTAAGTTCATTGTCATCCCAAATCAGCTAGAAACGAGCTTTTTTTATACCTTGACACCGTTGTGTGCTACGAAGAAAGGTGAAGTTGTGGTGATGACTGAAAGAGGAAATATACTCATCTATAATGATAAAGAAAACAAGCATCGGCCTTTTTGGGGAGAAAACAAGCATCGGCCTTTTTGGGGATCAAATCTAAGTTATCCAAATTTATATGTGGATACTTTAGTTTTGCCCATTTGTACAACTCCAGTAAAAAGAAAGAGGAAAGAGGGATTATAAGGAGGTAAATAAAAAATAAAAAAAATTCTCTATTTTTCTAGCTTCTCTTCAATTTCTAAGTTAATTATGTTTTTTATTGTTGTCATCGACATTAGTTATCAAAAGAAATATATATAATTTTTTCAATAGTAGATTCAATTACCTTGAGTCATGCCTGCATTTTCGATTACATGTTTACGTAGCTAAAGCATTGTAGTTAAATTTAGGGATTAGTGAACATAATGAAGAAATGCAATGGTAAATAGAAACAGGACTGAATTATATATGCATGTGTGCATGTATACGTATGGTTGTATGTATTTATATTATAAATTTCTAACTAAGTGCATACATCTTGACAAAGTTCATATGATGATTGACCTTCTATTTGACAATGTTATTTGCCATTTAATATTTTCATAACTAACAAGTTATAGCCATATGGACGCTATAAATTACTTCTCATTCTCTTCCCACGTAAAGACACTTTTAAATTTAATTTTAAATTCCTTGTGTGGTCTCTTTTTTCCTTCTCCGTCGCTCCTTTATTATTTATTTATTATTATTATTTTTTTTTGTGAAGGTTATTTTTACTTTTCCAATCATGTCCAAACAGGGATAACAACTCAAGATACTGGCAAGTATGCATGGAGCTATACGAGTCTCAGTAGGGTCATCCTCCCCCACTAATTTTTTTATTTATATTAAATACATACCCCAATTGAATTTTTGGTAAAACTCATCTATTTTGGTAGTTGGAATAGATATATATATTTTTATTATTATTATTTTACTGCCGTTTAAAGTTGAACTCCCTCAAAATAGTTTTCTCACTGATTATTTATACCTAGCTTCGCTTGAATGATAGAGACCTCAAGAATTAGCAGAGCAACGTTGAGTGTTGGGTTAGCTTTATGTTTCATTTATCTCTATATTATGCAGTAATGATATTGTGAAGCACTCTAAGCCGTTCGCCTTTATTCTCTTGCTTTTATAATGGTTTAAATGTATTTGAACATGTCGATATTTTGACATTGATACTTCCCAAAGCATGAATAAAAAATAAGCTTTAGATTTGACTATTTCAAATGCGTTTGTTTGTTCTTTAATTGCAGTAAATATATCATTTTCTTAATTGGCAAAATTTTACTAGTAAGTTGCAGTTACAAATGGTGAAAGCTATATTGTTTCACGCTGAGGGAAGGACTTGGCAGTAAGTTCCATATATATGTTGGTTTTTGTTCTGATGCCACTTTGTTAGAAATAGTGAACGGGTTAGAGACACACACAATACAATAATATGAAAAAGAAATTGAGGAAAGGAACACTTAGAAATATATTATATTCTATTCATACTATTTCATCATATTCTCTACCCACCTATAAAATAGGTATAGTACATGAGTTTATATAGGCTCTAAAACATATGTAACTAATTACATTTCAATGTCCAATTACTCCCACTAATCCCACGAACATAGTATTTAGTCGACTTAACACTCATGTCTTCCACTAACACAAATACAAACTCCTACTAACACACAATTAACACACCATATTAAAGGACTTGTAACCTTCACAAAAACCCTAAAAAGCACATAATCAAGTTTAATTTCCACCACCTCCCTTTAAACTTGATTTTGTAACTTTCAAATAAACTTCTTATTAATCTTGGGTACTTGAACAAAAGTTTGTTGGTTGATCTTCAATTCCACCTCTTCAACTGCAACAACCATCTTGGCCGTTTCTATTGATGTATATGGCTTGTGAAAAGCCTTCAAATGCTTGTTTGATGTCTTCACACAATCATATATCATCCTCTTTATAAAAATACACTATCTATTTTTTTTTTCTTGAATTTTTTATGACTCTTCCACTTTGCACGTGCTTCTTCTTTAGAGTCAAAAAATAAATCCATATTCACCCAACCTGTGTCAATTACAAAATTCTCCAAACTATTTTTAGAAAAAAAAATTTGAGAATTTCTTATCATCTTGAGTTTCAATCTCATACTTCTTTGGAGTAATTTTCTTCAAAAAAAAGTTCATCATTTTCTGCAACATGAACACAATTATCATAATAGTTGATTTCATTTTTCAATTGAGATGAATATGAAGAAATTATAATTTTATCAAATAAGTCGAATCTAACTTCTTCCAAGGTGGAATTTATAACCATACCTGAAGATGTTAATGCACCAATTTCAAAAACTTTTTCGTCTTCTTTAATACTTTTTTCTTCTTTAATTTCTCTTTCCACTTCATTTTCCTCCACTTTTTTAATTTCTTCTTCAACACCTTTGCTCACCACTTCCTCATTCACCATTTCAAGTTCTCCTTCTACTTTTGAATCTTCAAAAATGTTCAACTTCATTTATGTTGTATGCCTCTTCATTCTCCATAAATTTATCCTCTATACGTTCATAATCAACCTTCGTAAACTCATCATCCTTAAAAGCATTGTACCCAATACTCCATTAGTAGTGATTCACCTCTATGATTAGAAACGATAGCCTCGACCATCTTCCAAATACAACTTAGAGTTTTGGACTTTCCAAAATAGTCCCAAATATCTTGATGTATTGCCTTTTACAACACTACCAATGCCTTTTCTTCTTTCTTTTCAAGAAACTTGTTGGACATGCCATTCTTTGGCTCTTCTCTTACTATATCCCACAAATCACATGCTTTGAGGTATGATGTCATGATGGTTCTCATTCTCTTGTAATTAGAGAACAGCATTTTCTCACTAAAAAAATACATTTTCTCACATTCATCATCATCAAGGAGAAACATAATTTTCTCTAAATGTTGAACCTTTTAGGATCAATTTCGTCAAACCTTCAGGATCGTCTAGGCTCTAAACATGAAATTTGGCTCTGACATGGAATCTAACTCTGATACCACTTTGTTAGGTTTTGTTCTAATATCACTTTGTTGAAAATAGTGGACGGGCTAGAGACACACATAACACAATAATATGGAAGTGGAATTGAGGAAAGGAACATTTAGAAATATATTATATTCTACTCATACTATTTCATCTTATTCTCTACCCACATATAAAATAGGTATAGTACATAAGTTTATATAGACTCTAAGACATGTGTAACTAATTACATTTTAATGCCCAATTACTCCCACTAATCCCACTAATATAGTATTTAGTAAACTTAATTCTCATTTCTAACACTAACACAAATATAAACTCCCACTAATACAGAATTAACACACCATATTAAAGGACTTGTAACCTTTACAAAAACCCTAAAAAGCACATAATCAAGTTTAATTTCTAACAATATCATAGGAAGGGAATCAAACAGAAATTGTTCGACATAGTAATAATATAGAAGTCTATTAAGAGATGTAGTATTGTAAAACTTGAAGGAGTAAAAAATATAAATTGCAGTCAGCTTGATCTATATCCTTTAATTAGCTTGATCCATCTTTTGGGAGATTGGATTGTAAGTTTGATCGGGGGAGAATTTGCGCTTTATTGCTAGAGAGCCAACCCAACCCCAAAACAAAACTAAGTTAGTAAGACTATTTTTATTGATTTGGTACAAAAATCGTGTTATTTAGCATAGCCCAAAGGAAACTTTTATTTCTACCTTTTTCAAAATAGTTGAGATTGGTTAGAGGTGTTGCTAGGTTTACTTTATTTAAAAGGGTAATTGACTTTCACATGAATGTTATGTTTTGTTTGATAACCTCATTCAGCTTAAACGATTAAGACCTATTAGTATTGGCTTTAAAAACTATTTTTTGCTCTCTAAACCCTGAAAGCCAAAATTTAGAGTATTTGCATTGCTCAAGACAAAGAGCTTTAGAAGAGTTGGGAATTGGACCTCCAGATTCTTATCCTATGCTGGGAGAGCAGTTCTTATTAAGTCAGTGATATGTTCCATTCAGTTTTATTGGTCCTAGGCATTTGTTCTATGTACCTAAGAAGGTTTTTGATGAAATCAACAAGATTTTAAGAAGTTTTTATTGGTCAGACGTTGAGCTTAAGAAAAGGTGGGCAAAGGTTACTTGGATTGCTGTTTGTAGACCAAAGATGTATAGTGGCTTGGGGTTTCTTGATCTTGAGCTGTCAAATAGAATTGGAAGCCTTAAGAATATTTGAATGTTGTGTTTGAGAAAGGAGAGTCTTTGGGTGGCTTGGACTTGTTGTTACCTTATTAAGGACAGATGTTTTGGGACTATTAGGCCCTCTGCACTTAGTTCTAGTTTTTGGAAGAATTTATTAAGGCCATAGGAAATGGCAAAAGGTATCATTAAGCATAGGGTGGGGTATGGGAAGGACACAAAGCTGCGAATTGATTATTGGCTTCCTAATAGCCCAATTGTAAAACAACTAGGACTGAATGATTTATAAATTCTTCAACTGGACACTTTATCCACAGTTGATAGCCTAATTTCCAGCAATCATTGGATGGTTCTTTCAGTACTAAGTTTCCCATAGTTTTGTTAATCTCTAGACTTTCTCTCCCAGCTGTATTCCTTACCTCTTCCCTCTGAATAGCAAGATAGCATTGTGTAGTTGCCTAATCCTTTTGGTACCTACTTTTTATCCTATACCACTGCTTACTTTACCCCACCATCCCCAACCTTTGTCTGGTATAAACTAATTTGGTTTAAGCATCGTCTACCTAAGCATAGTAGCATTGCTTGGTTAACAGTAAGAGGTAGGCTCTACACTTTGGGCTCCAAGCCAATGCTTCATAAGCACTATATCAATAGATGTTACCCATGTCTTGCTGAGAATGAATCTACGGACCACTTGTTCTTCAAGTGTAGCTACAGTTCACTGATTTGGAGGTTTATTCAGGAGATTGCAGGTTTTTATACACTCCCCAAATGTTGGATGGATTTGATACAATGGTGTTTAACTCATTGACTTCTTCTGATTTCTTAACACACAAATTCCTACTGCCGGTAGCAATTTATTTCCTCTGGCAAGAGAGAAATGGAAGTGCTTTCAAGAATGTTTCTACACCTCCTCATCACATAATTTCC